TTGCCAAGCCGATTGTTGGAAAGGGTATCATTCGGGATTGTTCAGACAATTTGCATACCCCGTTGTCGATCCTTGAATGCTTCTCTGACGCCGACTGGTCTGGCAACCGCCAGACCAGAAAGTCAGTGAGCGCCGCTGTGGTGTTGTGGGATTCCATGACCATATATAGCCACTCGAAGACTCAAAAGAACATCAGTCTTTCCTCGGCGGAATCAGAATATCACTCGATGATATCCGCCATAGCTGACAGCATCCTCTTGAAAGCGTGCATCACCTTCGTTGCACCGCATCCACCTCTTGAGATCACTGCCTTCTGTGATAACAGTGCGGCCAGGACGCTTGCCTGCCGTCAAGGCGTCGGTCGCATGCGGCATGTCAGTGGAAAGCTGCTTTGGCTTCAGCAGAAGACCAAGGAAGGAGAAGTGGTTGTTCGACCCGTGCCTACGGCGGACAACGTTTCAGACCTCGGTACTAAAGCGCTAAAGGCAGACCGTATCTTGTACCTGTTGTCGAAACTCAACATGCGTGATTCCGAATGTGGGTATCAACTTGTTGGAGCAGAATACTTGTTGGATGCCCAGAGCAGACGCCAGTTGTGCCGAGTTATCAAGCAAGGGAGTGTCAATCCTCAAAGAATACTACAGGTTCTTGCATTGGCGTTGCAAGTCGACGCCATAGCAAGCGAGCAAGATGAGCCCAATGATGATCAAGACGCCTTGAGCCATGTGAGCACGAGCCTCTTGACTTGGATAGGCGAGAGCGTGACTGTGGTATTCCTTGTCTGTGCTGACCTCATTGAGAACCACCCCATGTGTGCAATGTTGTTCGGACAGTCTATGATGCTAGTTTTCTTGATCTGTGCAATGTGCTTTTGCCGGAGCCACCGAAGGTCTGAGCCCACAACCAGTGGGAATGCAACAATGCCAAAGGTTGAAGTCAACGTAGTGGTTGATAGGTCTTTGGGTGTAGGGGATAGGGATAAGCCTGAACCCGCCGAAATCCCTAACCCTGACCTGCCACAGCGAGAGAACGAAGGAGACGATGATCAGCCAGATCCGACAGCTGCATCGTCGTCCGCACCAGCAAATGCAGCACCGGTGAGTGCAAGCACGTCTTGGAATGAGGTTGAGGCGAATCTTAATGCTTGGTTGCGTGAGAATGCCCTGCCAGTGCTCGAACAGTGCAACGCACCGCCTCGAACACCGGAACATCCGTCGGTGCGAGATCCAGCAGAGAATCATGTTGTGTTCGTGACTGCGAGTCGTGGATATGCATTCCACCGGACACGTGAATGCCCAAAGCTCAGAAGTGCAAAGCGAATTCTGAGGTACAGCAAGCGTGAGGCCATCAGGCGAGGTTTCAAGCCCTGCAAGGAGTGTGGAGCATGATACAGTGCAACTTCTTTCCACTTGGAAATGTTCATGATGCTGCGCAGTGGTCGCATGTATATAGCTTTATGTACATAGCTTGTGATGCTCATGAAACTTCACTTGCTAATCCTCGTGGAACCTGGGGTTCAGCAATGCACACACATTCTTGCCCAATCCTGTTCATTTCCGACTTCGAATGAGATACTCCGAATGCCTTGATGTTTGGGAGTTGGTCACCCAAAATCTCGTGCGATGGCAGATAGGCCATCACAATCTCCACAGTGCAATGCCACGTGTGTCCACCTTGCTTGCCATTCCGACAGTGTCTCCGCTTGGGCCAGTCAAGCATGCAGCACATTAGGTGCTAGGTACAACGTAGTTGTAGCCTAAACCGAGCCAACGACCCATGGGCAGAGTTCGAAGATGCAAAGACATTCTGCAGTTGTTTCACGGGAGCATTTGAAACTAAGTGTCTTGTTGTTTCTCATACCTGGGCATCGGGAATCCTTTGAACCAAAACTCTTCGCCTAGCTTCACACTTTTGGAGGCGGGGTGTTTAGGATTTTCCCGATTTACAGCATGCCCAGATATTATGTTTTGCAGTTGTTTTACCTGTTGCTCCCAAGTAGCATGTGACTTGAGTGATTCGAATCTGCAGGCGTCTTTACGGATTCAAAAGTTTTTCAGCTTGCGACTCTCAGGGGCGCTACAGCACATTGATCTGGCGGACATACTATCATTCCAGATACCCCAGCTGGATAAAACCAGGCTGTCGGACTCTTTGGTCGGGTACGGATTTCTGACCACTGCCCAGTACATCGCTGATCTCTTCTTTGCTGTCGCAGATGTGCCAGGGGTCAAAAATGCCAGTTTTCCGGCTATGTTGTGCTACTCTGACCCAGACTACTGGTTGGGGGCGCTTTTGCTAGCCTTTGAGTCTCATCAAAAGGGTCCCTTGGGACGAGCAGCCGGGCTGCCTGTAGTCTTGGGCTTCCCTGAGACGGACAATCGCATTACAGACCTACAGGTCAATGTGCCTCCTGCAGCCATGGTGGCCTTTCTCGCTGGCCGTGCATACCAGCTGCCCACGTGCCCTGCAACCAAATACGTGGTGGACCCCCAAGGACTCCCCCAAGTCCACGGACAGATATCACAGGAGGCCTTGCAGGCCTGGGCGGAGGCTGCCAAGCACACGAATCTGGAAACTGCCAGGTTAGCACAGCAACCTGGCTTAATGCGTTTGTACGGATTTCGCTTCAAGGCTCGCAAACACTGGGGCACCGCCAGTATCAAGAATTTAGGCCAAGTATACCACCAGTTCACTTCCTTGATGCCATTCGGCGCCCCCGAGTTTGAAGCTCAGGTGCATGATTGGCGTTTTTCGGAGCTGCGTACCACAGACCTTGCGGCCTTGCGAGAAGTGGATGTCTCTACCCCTTTTCGATTACCCGCCCTCGAGGATGAGCATTGGCAAGGACTTAGTACAACGCCGAATAGACATGGGCCCCAACGCGCCCGGCCTCCGCCCACTGGGCCGCCCTTAAGGGGCTCACCCGATCCAAGCACCCAACCAAGCAACGCCTCAACAGCTTCTGGTATAAACTGTACTGCCACGGCAACCCCAAGGAGCCTGAGCCCTCGGCCCTTGTAACTGCCCTCTCCACCTTTCCCTTCCAGTCCCGGGACGAAGGTGCTGTGCATTATTGGCAAGTTCAGGAGGCCATTCGGACGATGTGGCATTCAGCCAAAGCCACCATGGCACGGCATGTAGGAGTACCCATCCCGACTGGCATCCCTGGTCGATGAGGAGGAGTTGTCGCAAGCCTGTCTGTTGTCCCGCAATACAGCCGTCACTGATCCGTCAACAGCGGCTGAGGGAGTCAGCATGGCGGACCAAAAATCAGGAAAGCGTGCTGACACGCCCTCCTCCTGGTACCGTTCGAGACACCCGGATTGGGAGGGTCCATGGCAATGAAGTGCTGCGGGCCGGAGTAAGGTTTGATTGCTGTATTGCTGTTGCTACTCGCAGGTTTCCTTCCTGGGAACTAGGAGGACTCTGCTGACTGCGGCCCCAGGTTCTACTTGGATATGTGGCCGGGCTGAGCACAGTTGTGCGCCTGGGTGTTGGGAACTCTGGGTCGGTTTTCCAATTTGGGAACCGTAATTTGTGTTGGCTCTGGCTCGGGATTGCTCCACTGGCTGACCACCATGGGGTGCCCTGGGCTGGTCTTGCATCCGCTGTTCTTGCTGTCAAGTCCCCACTGGCTGACCACCATGAGCCGCGCGCTGGCCTTCCTTCTGCTGTAGGATATAGTGAGGGTGGTTTGACGACTGTCTGGTAGTCTTTCCCCTCAGAATCGGTAGCTGCTGCTACTCGCAGGCTCCCTCCCTGGGAAGTGTTGAAGGCCCTGCTGACCGCGGCCCCTGTTTCTACTTGGGTATGTGGTCAAACTGGGCTCAGTTGTGCACTTTGGTGTTGGGAACCTTGGCCGGGCTTCAATAATAAAGCCGCAAGTTGTGTCGGCTGTTGCTCGGGGCTGCTCCACTGGCTGACCACCATGCGGTGCCCTGGGCTGGTCTTGCATCCATTGTTCTTGCTAACAAGTCCCCACTGGCTGACCACCGTGGGGCGCGTGCTGGCCTTGCCTTCCCTCTGGGATATTGGGCCATTTTGTACCTTCCCTTTTCGCTACTGTGTGCCTGGTACCTCACCGTGTCGGTCGGTAACTCTGCTGTCCTTCTTCGATTTACAGCTTTCCGTGCTGACCTTCTTTGCACCAGTGGCTACATGATGGTGGTTTTGATGATCTGGCATACCCTCGCATTTTGCGACCCCTCCGCATGCTCTGCGCTGCTCGATTACACCTGGATTTCTGCGACGACTTCGAGAACTGAGCGCGGGGGACACGTAGACGTTTGGTGCTCTGATCTTGCGGGTTGCTGCTGGTTGGTGGTTGTGTTTTGTGGTTGTTTTGGCGTGTGTTTGCTTTGGTTTTCGCACCTGCTCTGTTTCACCCCTAGTGTTGAGATCCCCAAGAACGGCCTACTGCGCTGCTGATGTAGTAAAGAGGCATCGGTCCAAAAAAAATTCTTGTTTTGCTTGTTGTTGCTTCGGTTGGTGGTGTTGTTCGTCTTTCTTATTCTTCTTGATTCTCACGGCGATATGTTTCACACCTAGTTGCGAGACCCACAAGAACGGCCTACTGTGCTACTGATGTAGTAAAGAGGCGCCCGCATTTAAAGAAAAAGCGCGTGGCTGCAAGTAGCAAAAATAGCAGAAGTAACGAAATTAGCGAAAAGTAGCGGCACCATGTTTGGGGTATGGTTGACCTCATTGTTGCGCATCCCTAAGCAACTGCCGGACTGATGTTGACCTGCATTGCTCCTTCAACTTTGATTGCCGGCTTGGACTTTTCACGTTTTATCAGTTCATGTGAGAGCGCTGCTTGTTCGGCAAACCCGTCAAGCATGGCTCCAAGCCATTTTTTTGTTGCATGTTCACCCAAATCCACAGTGGCAGAACCAAAACTCGAAATCCCTCAGAGCCAGAAACGCGATGCTTCACGTTACCCTCGCTGTGCTCAAGCGTTGGCAGGCCAAAAACGTAGTTGCCCAATCCGACCTCTTGCCATGGTTCGGGCTTTCCTACTGCTCCCGGCCCTCGTGCCTTGCTTGCGCGCCAGGGGATTCTCAACTGTTATGGTTTTTCGCTTTGGGTTTGCCCCTTTAAACTAATCCTTGATGGGGATCCGAATAGGGGGTACTATAATCCTTTTTCGGGACTGGTAGTATCAGGGGGAACATCCCAAGTTTTCGCTGTAAAGCCATTCTTCTTTCTGGCCGGGACGGGCGCTCGTCAGGACACTGGGAGTCCCTTTTGTTGCTTTCCTTAGCTGGCTCAATTGCACTGGAAGGCTTTAAAAAAAGCCCTGTGTTGAAATCTCATCTGTGTTGTCTGGGTTGCAACTCATGGTTTAGGGTTTAAGGTTTAAGGTTTCGGGTCTGGGGTTTGCGAGCTCATGTCAAGGGCATTGAATGTTGGAATGCGGGAACCCGAAACTGCGGTTGACAATGGCCTCAATTCTCAGCCCGAAAGCTTTCAATTTCCAGCGAAACACCACCGACCTGGGCTGCCAAACAGCCCAAGACATCTGGGCGTTTTCCGAAATTAGGGGTACCTCTTGGGGTCCGAATTATCGGAGAATCCTGCCATTCACTACCATTTGGGGTTTCTATCTTCCTCATCAAACTCTATACAATCCTGTTTTGCCCTTAGAATACAACCTTGGAGCAGCTGCTGGAGACTTATACAGCCCTCACGAAGGCTTTTGTAAAACCTGGGCAAGCTCTGAAAGCACCCCAACCGCAATCCCAGAAAGGTGAGCTTCACGATTGGCTCGTCGAGCCCCGACGAGGGCTGCGAGCTCACAGAGGCTGGGAAGTTCCTGACCCTTGGGAGAGAACTTGAGATCCGGGTCTATAGCGCCCGCGTCTATTGCTTGCCTCATAGCTCGACAAGACAGTGGATGTACCTGCAATAGATTATGTGACTTGTTCTAAACTAGGGGCTTCATGATATCTAGTGCATTAGTGTTTTTATTTGTATTATTTATCATATCAGTATTACTAGTACTATTATTAGTATTCTTATTCTTATTCTTATTCTTATTCTTATTCTTATTCTTATTCTTATTCTTATTCTTATTCTTATTCTTATTCTTATTCTTATTCTTATTCTTATTCTTATTCTTATTCTTATTCTTATTCTTATTCTTATTCTTATTCTTATTCTTATTCTTATTCTTATTCTTATTCTTATTCTTATTCCTATTCTTATTCTTATTCTTATTCTTATTCTTATTCTTATTCTTATTCTTATTCTTATTCTTATTCTTATTCTTATTCTTATTCTTATTCTTATTCTTATTCTTATTCTTATTCTTATTCTTATTCTTACTCTTATTCTTACTCTTATTCTTGTTCTTGTTCCTATTCTTGTTCTTGTTCTTGTTCTTATTCTCGTTCTTGTTCTTGTTCCTATTCTTGTTCTTGTTCTTGTTCTTGTTCTTGTTCTTGTTCTTGTTCTTATTCTCGTTCTTGTTCTTGTTCTTACTTATTATAGCTGCGCCAGTTACAGTTTGCCGACTCCAGGAAGCACAAGTTGCCGGAGCTTCAGGGCATGACGGCCTCAGCTCGTGCGAGAGGTCTTGCCAATGATGCGACCCTTGGGTTTAGGGTTTAGGGTTTAGGGTTTAGGGTTTAGGGTTTAGGGTTTCCCTTTTTTTTGGGTTCTCAGGACGCAAACCGGGGCGGGGAGCAGGCGGCTGGATTTCCTTCTTATACAGAGTTGACGTTGGCTCATGGCTCTTGGGGCTTGAGGTGTCCCTGCGATGTCTTTTTTGGGTCAGGTTCGTGTGCTGAGCACCCCGTCTAAGGACATGTCCTGCAGCGTGCGGCTGGTGCAACATGATCGCGGCGAATGACAGTGTCAAAGTGAGGGAAAACATTTCGTACGGACAGGCCTACAACATTGAAACGGGGCGGAATGAGGTTTTGTACATGCAGCTTGGAAAGCACGTTTCAGCCGCTCTTTGATGCGCTTTTGTGGGTTCTTGCTTTGGCCATGTGCTTATTTGGGATCCAGATTTGAGAGGAGATCCTCCCAACTAAACCTTAGTTGGGTTCCTCCGGCAGCTCCATCAGGGACGAGTACACGGTACCGGAGACCCAGCCTGGCGTGGATCGTAAGCCTGTGATGGTCGTCATCCATGGTGGCGGCTACATGAAGAGCAGCAACAAGAACTCGCTTTGGGCTCCGATCGTCTCGCGATTTTTTGCAATGTACGGCTTCCACACCGTGTCCATCGAGTATCGACGCTTGGGCGACTACTGCGCAGAATCCTTGACGAACCCGAAGCCGGGCTGTCCCGAAGTTATGTTTGGCAATCCCGTTGCTGAGCCGCAGAACAAGGCACCCTCGGATGCCGTTCTCAGTTCAAAAGACCATGTGACCACCTGTCTAAACTAACGCGTCTACGTCTACGGGGTCGTCAACCCGTGATCTCAAGAGAAGCACTACAAGTCTAGCTTGCTTACAGGTGTCCCAAACACGTTTGCACAAGCATGCTGGTTGTCGCTGTGGAAGCCCAGAGTTAGAATGTTGTGCCTCTTCGTGACAAGGCGGTATATGTGAGGGCTGGGTCAATGGTGCGCCGCAGAGATGTGTTGAAAGTAGTAGGCATGGCATCAGAAGGATCTTGTTCTCAGCAGCCGCCGAGTGATTTGTCGAGCGTTGGTCTGTCCCCCAACACACAAACTAGGGGCCGAGGTTTAGGGTTTAGGGGTTTGCGGCTTAAGGTTTGTGGTTCAGGGTTTAGGGTTTCGAGGCTTCATGTTGGGCGCAGTATGCCTCGGACTTCAGCTCCAAATCCCGCCGGCCTTCCGGTACCAATTGATGGCGGGCACACCCGACATTTTCGGGGTTTAGGGTTTAGGGTTTAGGGTTTAGGGTTTAGGGTTTAGGGTTTAGGGTTTAGGGTTGAGGGTTTAGGGTTGAGGGTTTCGGGTTCAAGGTTGAGGACGCCAGGGCGGCGATTCGCTTCCTCCAAGAGAACCAGGTGGGAATCTGTGGGGTCTCGGGTTTACCGTAGGGTTTAGGGTTTAGGGTTTAGGGTTTATGGTTTAGGGTTTAGGCTTTAGGCTTTAGGCTTCAGGGTTTAGGGTTTAGGGTTTAGGGTTTAGGGTTTAGGGTTTAGGGTTTAGGGTTTAGGGATTTGGGATTAGGGTTTAAGGTCTAGGGTTTAGGGTTGCAAGGAACCTGCATGGTTCAGGGACTTTTTCGACCGCAAGATGGATCTTTGGACCTGAGCAAACATCCCCTCCCCTAATATTAAACCCCTCTACCCCCCAAATATTAAACACCCCCAATATACTCATAACGACAATGGGGGGTATTTCATATCAGATATCAGGGGGTAGGGGGTGGTTTTAATATTAGCGGGAGGGGATTTCTTGACTTCCCTGCTATGTGGATCAGCTGGAGGTGTCTTGAAAACGGGAGGTCGTCTGCTTTGTCCGAAATATCCGAAATCCGCTAGCCTGACAACCCTAAAATGCTAGAAACCGTGCAATCCCTAAAAACCTGAAAAGGGTCGTTTCCAAGTATGAGTCCCTTGCGCCGCCGGCGTGAGTAGGACGAGGGCAGCGGGTCTGGACTTGTCGCGGACTGTGGGGTCCGGTCCGGAAGTCGCCACAACTGGTAGATGAAACGAAATGGAGGTTTACGAAAATGAGGTACCCCAAATATAGACCCCCAGAATCGTAAATATTCCCTCAAAATAAGGGCCCCAATAAGGTGCCTCTAACTTCGGAAACCCCCAAATGCCCCCCACTGAAGTGCTCATTATGCGTTGGTGACATGAAGCTGCGGTGTTCTGCAATGATCTGCAAGCGTGTCCTTAACCCATTGGCGCCCTTTGGATCTTGACGGTATACGGCTGTACATAGAAACGTGGGTTTAGGGTTTAGGGTTTAGGGTTTAGGCTTTAGGGTTTAGGGTTTAGGGTTTAGAGCCATTCTTGGCAAGGAGACTCTTTCCATCGACACCTCGACGATTGGAGCGTTTGGATGTTCGGCTGGTGGTTGGACGGTCACGCACCTCCTGATGACGAACTACGGCAACTGAGTGGCAACTGCCAGGGTCTGAATGGCTGAGGGGCATCAATATGCGAGAGCTGCCCCAGAGCTGTCCAAGGTACTTACTGAGAGTGACTCATCATATCATCTAGAAGCTGAGTGAGACTGATGCATAGTATCTGCCAACATGAAGCAGCAACACAAGCATGGGGTGCAGCAGGACCCCACGCCCGATTTGATGCGGAGACGCTTGTGACATGTTACGGTAGCCCTGCACCCCAATACTATGCGACTGCCTTCAACAAGAAGCCTGAGTAGGCTTTGATTCGGCCTTGTTGGGTTTTTGTCTTGGGAGGTTTGCAATCAGTAGGGTGGTTGGGGTAGGTGAGAATCCCAAGAGGTTTTTGTCAAGCTGATGAGGTGAGGGAAAATCTGGAAATCTGGAGAATCCGCCTGCGGTGCACGCAGGCGTGTCCTTGTCAGGCGGGCGGCATGCGGCCTTGTGTCCGGAAGTTGGTTGTGGCCTGTAGGAAGGGTATAGATCTAGTTCGATGCTTGGTGTTTAGGCAGAAATCGATATGCGTATTTCCCAAAACAGGGGTACCCTTCTAAGATTCTATACCCCAAATAGAAGGGGAATCCCTCAAAGGCCCCCCCCCAAAAAAGGGTGCCCCTCATTTTCGGAAACCCCCATACCTGCTCGAAGGCGAAACAGGAAGGCTCAGGCTTGCTGCCCTTCTATTTAGGGTTTAGGGTTTAGGGTTTAGGGTTTAGGGTTTAGGGAATGTTTAGGGTTTAGGGTTTAGGGTTTAGGGCTTAGGTTCAATCCACAGCATGAACATGGTGAGCATGGGCTGCCCCAGGAGGCTTTGTGGAAGTGATGAATCCGTGGAGAAGCGCCGGCTGCAACAAGAGGTACGAAGTAAGCAGCAGCGAAGAAGCCGCAGCACGTAGTGAGTGGAGCAGGAGGAGGAGGAGGAGCAGGAAGAAGAAGAAGAAGAAGAAGAAGAAGAAGAAGAAGAAGAAGAAGAAGGAGAAGAAGAAGGAGAAGGAGAAGAAGAAGAAGAAGAAGAAGAAGAAGAAGAAGAAGAAGAAGAAGAAGAAGAAGAAGAAGAAGAAGAAGAAGAAGAAGAAGAAGAAGAAGAAGAAGAAGAAGAAGAAGAAGAAGAAGAAGAAGAAGAAGAAGAAGAAGAATAAGAAGAAGCAGACGAAGAAGAAAACTCACAATACACGCGAACCATCGAGATATGAAGGACCACTGAACATCATAATGCTCACCATAATGAACAACAACAGAATAAAGACACTAGCAGAATACTACATATATTGCAATAGTGATGGTCGTAACAGAAGTTTGTCAGCAAGAATGATAACAACAATAATGATGGTGAGAATAATAAGACTGTTGGTACAAACCATGGTACAGAAGTCGTCGTCGTCGTCGTCGTCGTCGTCGTCGTCGTCGTCGTCGTCGTCGTCGTCGTCGTCGTCGTCGTCGTACTAGTGGTGGTGGTGTGCTTAGAGGGGGCAGCGTCGCCAGTTTCCCTAGGTGCGAACCTCCACAATGACCGAAAAGGGGGGGGGGGGACAGCAGAGTGGAGGTTTGTGTGGGAACTTTCGGCCAGGGCGGCGAATAAATCGCAACATGATGACAAAGAAGTTGAAGGATCATGTCTTGGGACTAAGCGGACACCTTTGATCCTGGTTCTGTGATTTCAGGATTTTCGCCTTGTCTTGAACAGTACCCTCCTCCTTCCTCCTCCTCGGCCGGCACCGCTCCCACATGCACTTTCGAGCTGCGAAGTTCTTGCAAATGCCGGGATTCCTAAGGAAAGACGAGATACGGCAGCATCGCACCCTACATGGCCATCTATGGTACCAGCGATGCCCTTTGCCCATCCTTCATGCAGCTTGGAACTGCGATTCGTTATTTGGGGGGCAGTTGGAGGAGACATAGGAGACTTCTGACTGCGGCGAGAACCCTGAGCCCTGAACCCTAAAACCCCTAAGACATCAACCCTGAACCGCAATTGGGGTTGGTATTTGTGGTTAGGAAGGGGCCGAACGCAGCAGCCGAGGAGCACGGATGCCATCACGTTGGCAGAGTCCTTGGGTGCCGAGACTCGGCTCCTTGCCGTACCCGATGGAAAGCACTGCCCAAACGTGATCACGCCTCCCTCGCCCGACTACGCCTTTGACCAAGTCATGGGCTTTCTTGCAAAGTCCCTTGAGCTCTGCGGGGAGAGGACCCTCCTTCCGTGAGAAAGCTACGCAGCGGACCGCAGCTGTTCCAGCGGCCCGACTTTGACAATCACGCTTTCGGGCGCCTGGTGGCGTAGCAGCAGAAGTGGCGCCTCCGAGACTGCGACACTTTTGTTGGGAGGCTTCCTGAAGAATGAGAATCCGTAGATTGCCAGCTTCCAAACTAGAGTCCCTTCCAGTGCTCACAGTGGGTATTTAGAAACATCACGCGAGCAATTCCCTCCTCCCATTTTACCCGGTGAAACCTCCATAGCTTGGCAATTCTGAGCCCTGCCAACGACAAGCGCTGGAGGAGTTCAGAATCGATTCTCCTATTCCCTGTTCGCTAAGGGCGTTTCAAACCCTACCCTGGCCCAAATAGCGACAGCTGACTCCTCAAAAGGTCCTAGATTTTTTGCCGCCAAAGCAGAGCCTTACCCTGACAAAGCCTGCCAAGTATACTTTGAGAGGACGATCATCATCAATGCCTAAACCCTAGACCCTGAACCCTCAACCCTGAACCCTAAACCCTAAACCCTAAACCCTAAACCCTAAACCCTACACCCTAAAGGCTCCTTGCATCCAACTGCCCCTGTTTTGCAGTCGTACGGCCTTCCAGGAATCCTCCCACACCGGGGTTTACGATACAAGGGGATCCCACCATTTGGGGGCCAAAAATTACCGGTTCAGGGTTTAGGGTTTAGGGTTTAGGGTTTAGGGTTGGGGGTTGAGGGTTGAGGGTTGAGGGTTTCGGGTCCCTTCTTATCGCCCCCACGCCCCAGTTGGGGCTTAAAGTCTACATCGGACTGCCGCTTGCACGCCCAACGACAAGTGGCTTGCAGCGCCCGACCTTGGCAGCGTTGCGGTCGTCTTGGGTTTAGGGTTTAGGGTTTAGGGTTTAGGGTTTAGGGTTTAGGGTTTAGGGTTTAGGGTTTAGGGTTTAGGGTTTAGGTTTAGGGTTTAGGGTCCAATTCAACGGGCGTTCTGCTTTGCAGTTTGTGCCGCGCAAGGCCGCGCACTGCCACGGCAAGGCAGCGACGCGGAGCCCAGCTTCTGCGCTCACAAGCCGCGCGTGGCAAAAAGGGATTGTGCATCAGCTGCGGCTTGGGAAGTTTCTTTGGTTAAGTGGCGCTTTCAGCACCAGCAGGAGGAGGAGCAGCAGCCATAGCTGCAGCCGCAGTAGCACCAGCAGCGGCAGGTACTACAAGAAGTAGCATCAAGTAAGAACAAAGAAGTAGAAGTAGAAGAAGAAGAAGAAGCATAAGAAGAATAAGCAGCAGCAGCAGCAGGAGGAGGAGTTTCTTTTGCAATAGTTCATCGTATTGTGGTAATACAAGACAACGATGTCGTGCCTCGCATCCCACCCTCCCTCTTCCGAGTCCCCCTCCCCTCCCTTCATCTGCTCTTCAGTAATCTCCCTCCCGGTCTTTGAACGAACAACTCTCCCCAGAAAGGTTTCGTGTATGCTTGGTGTACATCCGGCTCTGTGCTGTAGGCAAAAAAACCCTTGCCCAGACCGATATACATGCTGCTGGCCGTCTTTCTGAGTGGCGTGGCGCTTGGGGTCTCGGAAGACCCCCAGGCAGTGACGTTGCTGCAGCAGCATGGTCTACATCTAACTTTGTCATCGCAGGAGGATTTAAGCCTGCTCTCCAAGTTGAGATTCATGCCCCACAACTCGCTAGCAGTTCCGACACTGGATGCAAACGGTCGATTGTGTCTGATGTGCGACTTGCCGCCAGCAGAGCGCGCGCCCAACCAATCGTACGTACAGCGCACCGACTGCGGCAACCACAGCGTGTTCGAGGACGCTGCCATACTACAGGTGCCATTGAGCACATTCCAGCAGAATGCCACAGAAGAACACAATCAAACATTTGGCTGGTGCGAGCTGAACGTGCAGAAGAGTTGTGCTGATGCCGTCTACAATAAGGACTACATGCTCTTTGCCAAGAGTATTCTTGTCCACGAGTTAGCCCCTGGGGTGGCATCCTGGGACCAGTACTTCTGCTTCTACAATGGCTGGCTGAGTTCGGAAATCAAAGCGCTTCAGCACGATTTTCAGGGCATGTATGCCAAAGGCCGAGACTTTTGCAACTCTGAGGACTTGATCAAGAGAGGATCGCAGGGCAACCGATCTCAAAAATTTGAGCCTTCTGAGACTTTAGCTCAATTTCACCGGGGGGGCTTGGCGGTTTAGGGTTTTTCGGGCTTTTGGGGGTTCGGGCAGACGTAAGGCAATACAACAGTGAATGACGTCATGGCTCGCTGGCTTCGTGGTCATCAAGGCTTGTCTGGCGACCGCCCTACAATTGAGGACTCGCTCTTCCTCGCAGCTGCGTCATGCGCCTTGGGCGGGGGGAGTTCAGCATGTGACATGGCGTACTGCGCGTATTCCTTCTGCCTGAAAGACGATGGATTCGGCACTTACGACGAATGCCAGGGCTGGGACCCCGTCAAAGGCATGCCGATTTAGATGCGTAGTTTTCGAAACTTAGCTCTTGGTGCTTGGCGCACCGTTTTGGCTTCAGAGAAGTCTCCCTCTTTGCGTCAATGAAGCTGACAGAGAGCTGCCTCGGATGATGTTCTGAATCTCCAGCTCCAGTTGACGGTGTTGTTGTTCCCGTCCTAAACCCTAAACCCTAAACCTTAAACCCTAAACCCTGCATCATCATGGAGGCGAAGCTGGCTGGAGTAGAGGTTGCGTGATTCCTTCGGGGGTTGTGGTGTTTTAGTGCTTCTTGCGGGGGTTTTCTGACAGAGATGGGCCCCGTAGTGGCTGGCTTTAAGACTTGACAAGGCTCAATCTACAACCCTGCCCCACTTACAAGTACCCATGAACCTCCAAGTGGGTGTTCCTTGACAGGATGTAGGTAGACAAGATGCCATCCGTGGGAGCTCCTCGTACAGCAGTTGGCCTTTTGAACTCAAGCAACATAGACATGTTGTCTACTTCGCCGAAACTCTCAGTTCTGTTGGTGCCATGCGCAGCCTGAAGCTCCGAAGCTCCCTCATATGAGTCAGGACATGTTCCTTGTAAGAGCCCTGGCCCGACATCATATGCTGCACGACAAGAACAGAATTCAAATGGAACTAGGGCACTAGGGCACGCGTAAGATTTGCCTATAGTGGAGCCACTCTTGAGTCCTCGCAATTGCGCTGGGGACGGCCCTGGCAGGCCCGACAGCAGACCATGGGGGTGCTTAGAGAGCAGCTTGGTTCGGGCATGTAGGGAGTCGTGTGTTTCAAGTTGGGTTACAAGCCCTTCAAGTGCCCCAATAGGGTTATATTTGGGCTATCAGTACAGTTATAACTGGGCTGCTAGAAGTACCCATGAACCCTCCAAGTAGAGTCGTGTGTTTCAGCGAGGCGCCCGGCTCCATGGATCTGGACGTCGTCGATCACAGGCACAGGGTGTGAAACTCAGTTTGCTCAGCTAAAGAGGTCATATGCCGAGTTCCATGGTGTTCCTAAACCCTAAACCCTAAACCCTAAACCCTAAACCCTAAACCCTAAACCCTAAACCCTAAACCCTAAACCCTAAACCCTAAACCCTAAACCCTAAACCCTAAAATTAAGAGCCTCCGGCTCAAGCCGCCGACCCCGCTGGAGCATAGTTGAGACCCGCTCGCATGGAAGATCATCCCCGGCAGAGTTCTGTGAATCGTTTGGGGGGGGGGTAGGGGGTAGCACCAGGACAAGCCAAAAAGACAGGTGGGTGGGGGTGGGGGGGGTAGGGGGGGGGGTGGGGGGGTGGGGGGTGGTGGGGTTGGGGGGGGGGTGGGGTGGGGGGGGGGGGTTGGGGGGGGGGGGGTTGGGGGGGGGGGGGGGGGGGGGGGGGGGGTGGGGGGGTGTGGGGGGGGGGGGGGTGTGGGGGGGGGGGGGGGGGAGGGGGCGGGTGGGGGGGGGCAGTGGGGGGGGTGGAGGCCGGAAACGCTGATTTTGCTGAGGGCGCCCTACCCCCCCGTGCTGAACCCCCTGTTTACGCTGTGCGGGTGGCGCGGGTCCTCCACGAAAAAATTGTGCACCGACCCCCCCCCCCCCCCCCCCCCCCCCCCCCCCCGCGTTTTGGGGGGGTAAGGAGGGAAAGAGGGAGGTTTCACCTCCTTTTCCCATCCAACACGCCGCCAGGGTCGGCGGACCCTAAACCCTAAACCCTAAACCCTAAACCCTAAACCCTAAACATGCTTCCTCCATGTTTCCGACTGCCGCCAAGGGCATGAGCACCCCCTCATGGGCCTTGATGCAGCAGCTTTTGGAGGCTTCCTTGGACCTGCGTCCCTGGCACTGCGGGCTTGGCCATGGCAGCGAGAAGAGTTTTCACATGGGGACTCCAATCCGCTCAGGGCCAGCGTACCTGGAGGTCTCAGATGTCTACCGGGAGCGGCGCCTCGCTGCGTCAGTATCGTTGGGCTGAGCATTGGGCAATGCTGCTCCCTGCAGCTTAAGTAGGGGTGGCGTGCACAACTGCCGCGAGCGGGCATGTGCACCGACACATCGCAGCAGTCCCAGATGGCTGAGCTTTAGTGCAAAACCATTCCATTCTCACCGGAAACTAGGAGTTTCCTTCGGTTTCTGTGCAACGGCTTGAAGAGCCCCGTTGGGGTTGGAGCACGCCAAACGTTGAAGGGTCCACACTCCTCACAAGTTCAAAACTCGGACAGGACTCACAAGACCCATGGGGCAAGATGCGAGACGTGAGACTGCAGGATGTGATACGTACTTTGGTCAAACATGATGCGCTTCTCATGCATTCCAGTCCAGCAAAATGTATGCCGGGTGCGGAAAAGTTCTGGGGAGGCTTCGGTTTGGTTTAAGGCACCGTAAGCCGGTGCTTGTGGAAACCCGGTTCCGCTGAGAGAAGTGCATTTCCAGAATGTCCGGCACGCCATGGAGCTGAAGAGAACTGTGGTTTAAGGTTTAGGGTTTAGGGCCTTTCGGGCGTCAAGAGGTCACCTCTGATGCTTCACCGTAGCCTGACTCCAGACCTCGGATCGCCCAAACATTAGTTTCGGGGCCTGGCCTTGCAGTGGCGCCGCAGCTGCCCCCCCATGCATGGCCCGTGCACTTCCAGACGTGCAACAAGGCCCCTGGCTTACAGAACTTCGTCGCAGCGCTGAGCATCATGCTAAGGCATCTGCGCAACTGGCCTTTGCTGTGGACACGGAGCCCCACAACAGAGCACACCGGAGCTCTCCCAAAAACTTCTGAGAGGTTCTGGACCTCATTTTCTCATATCATTTGACCTAAGCGTGTGTTCCGCTGGAGCCAGAGAGGATGCAGCCTGCCTGGAGTCATCTGCTCAAGAACTTCGAGCCCGCGCTCAAATGCGCAGAGTTCTGCAGTGCTCTGCAGTGCTATGTAGTGCTAAGGTAAGCCGCGATGGCACAAGGAGGTTCGGTTCATGAGCTTGTAGCCCCTGTTTCGCCCGTCTTGTCTTTTTCCAGCCCCTTCTCAGCGTTGCCTCCTGGATGCCGGTTGGAAGGACTGCCGACTCCTTTGCGCCACAGGGCGCTCTGACCTCTGCAGTTGCAAAGTGTCCAAGCAGGGACGTGTGACCTTGCAAATCCAAAACCCTAAGCCCCTGAACCCTGGCGAACTCTCTGAGGCGACTGCGTCGTGGTGGCCGCTGGCCAAGGGTAACCTGAGCAAGAACTTGCCGAGGTCTTTCCGCCAGGGAATGTGAAGGATTGGATTGTCGATGGGGTCGAACAAAGAGTCGACATTCCTTAGCTCTTTTTTTCAGCCCGGGGGGCCGAACGCCTCAAGATGGCGCCCTTGCCAGAGTCTGGTGGTGGCTGCTGCCTGGACGAAAGACATCATTCTGGCATATTCTGGCTATGGACAGAGGCGGAGCAGTCGCAGCCCTAATCCACCGAGGTGGCCCTTGGTGAAATAAGGCCCGAGACCACCGCCAAAGTTCCGAAACCTACCCAGCCCCACCTGCCCAGAGACCAGATCGATCGTAATGCCAAGGCTTGACTTGCAAACATCGAAGTAAATCTCAACCCGAGACCAAGACCCCAAACCGGGCATCCGGCATACGACCGGTGGATTCTTACGTTTTGCGCAGTTTAGGCGGCCTCCGGCAGGTGAGCTTCCTTTCACCGCGCGTGTGAAGTGTCGGTGGCACGTCCAAAAATATTTTCGGCGTCTTCAAGGGACCTCCCCATCCTTGCTGCGCTTCACGTCCGCAGTGAACGTGATTTAGCAAAACTTGAGAAGACCAGCGCCGAGCTCAACCAGCAGGGCTGGCAATGCTGGCGATGCAGTTCAGCTGGGTTTTGCCTGGTTGGACTGCCCTGGCTCGACCCGACCACACAGCAGCATGTTTAGCAATCCGCGCTACGAAGGCACTGCAATAAGGTGCGCACACTGCCACCTCTGGGCGGAGAAAGCTGTGGCGCCTGGTGGAGGCACTGCATGCCCGCGGCGTAGCGGCGCAGTGCCAATGACAAAGGCCGAACTGCTTCTGACCACGTGTGCTGCCAGGAGTTACAACATGCCACCAAAAGCATCAGGCTTGACCGATGGAGACCAGTCGTGGCCTTGTGACGGTCTTTGATCGATTCTTGCCGCTGCGTGTTCTGTCTTCCTTGGCTTGTCTCGCATCATGCTGACGTCAGCCATGCTACGTGCCTGCACCACAGATACCAATCGAGCTGGCACAGTGTGGAGGTGCGCAACATGCTGTCCATGGTGATGGACACAGCGCAGAGAAGCCACGAAAGGGCATAGGTAACTGCAGTCATCCCATACGATGGCTTCAACGAGACGGTGGCGGGTCTTCAGACTGCTGGGCTCAGTTAACGACTCGTGTCGCGCAGGCACTTGCTTTCCTGGTCGCTACTTGCGCAGCAGCCTCATCTTAGATTCCCAGGGCCCCGCCGCAGTGTCGTTTCTCCAATGCCATGAGGCGATGGAATGCAGCAGCGCGGGGCTGAGCCAGTGGACGTCGTGCGTGCCTGGAGTTCTGCGATCAGTCCATTCTGCAGTGTTCTGTAGGTTCTACACCCCCAGCCCGTTGTGTTTCGTTCTCTCCCCGTGCAGTGCGGGGCAGCAACTTTGGCAGAATGTCTGCAAAGACTGGAAGACTGTGGGAAGCTTACCCGCTTGCTCTTGACGAAGGGCAACAGAGCTAGGACGACTTGAGCAAGGCACCGGCAATGTCTCGGCCACCGCAGATGGCCTGGCCAAGTTGCCTGTTCACGTTGCGCGGGTCGCTGCTGCACACGTTGGCCATGCAAGAAGCCTGCTGAGGCTCAAGGATGCGATGCCCAGCTCGCTGTGATGCTCGCTGTTAAGCGCCAACCGCAGAGAGGCGGTCGCCGCATGCAGCCTCGCCTGCCCTGCTTCTTGAGAGCTGTGCGCTGCCGTGCAGCAGTTTCGTCTTGTTGCTGTTGAGTGCTGAGGGCAGGCAATCCTATGGCCAGGAAGGCTGAGCAGCTTGAAGGCATGGAGCATGCAGTTACCACT